ACAGTTGTCTACAGTATTTTCTACAGAAACATTTTGTACAGGTTTGTAGTCTAGGAACAGTAGGCTATACTATACAGCCTAGGTGTGTAGTAGGGATACCATCTATGTTTGTGTGAGTATATTCTGTGATGTTCACACAAGGGTAAACCCACATATCAATACATTTCTCAGAATATATTCCCACCACTAGGTGATACATGTCTCTGTGTATTATATTTCAATGGAAACAGATTATTAGATATGTCCAGGTAGTAACTAACTAATTTTCTATGGAGCCTCCTCAACAAGTATTTTTATGAAGTGTCTTTTTAAAAATAAATTGGCTACTAGTTATTGTATATTTTAACAGCAATGTTCTAATAACACCTCATCAATAAAGATTTCATGAAAATATTTTAAATCAAAATGCTCTAGATCAGTCTACTAAATAAAAGATATTAGTCAGAATATTTCTGCATTTTACCATTTCAGAATGAATATAATACATAAGCCAATTTTATTGATCTCTTCTTACATCTTTGTATTAAAATTGGGAAATATATAACCTTACCTTTACTTTCTCTGAGTTGTAAAAATTACAATATTTCTTGTGCACACTAGAAACATACTAAATCCCTTTTTATTTTGTTATAAAATTTGTTTTATAGCACTAGCGAGGCTATTCTCATTTACATGTTAATTGAAAAGAAAATAGTGGAAAATTTTTAGTAAGTTGATAAAAAAAGAAGCCTATTCATCCCACCTAATTTCAGGTGTTGACAAGACGGTCCAATTAATTGCGCACATAGATTGCAATTTTGCAGCTATCTGTTGACAAATCTGAGAAATCTATTCATTAATCAAAATGAAATGAATCATAAGCTTTCCTGCCCACTACACACAATTTTAAGTTTAGTCTGATATAAGCTAGTATTTTTAAACAAACTTGACAATGCAGATTTTGTTCATTAAATTGTTTTCATCCATCTCTGTTGTTATAAAACCAATGTGCTCTGGATAAAATCTTGTTCTGTTCTTAACACAGCAGTCTTATTATCCCTAAAGAATGGCTGGAGTGCTGGAAACCAGTATGTGATATGTCCATAAATTCCTTGTTTTAATATAATTGAGAAAATACTATTTATAAAGTAGAGAGAGAAGTATCACTTCACATATTTAATAATATTGAAAAATCCAGTGAAAACAATAATATTTTCTAAATAATAAACTTTGTGTGAGTGTGAGTGAAGTAGTCTAGCTAAGAATTTGCTAAAACACCAATTACTTTTTTTTGGTGGGAAAATATATTTGTAAGAATAGATTTATTTCAGGTTGATTTCCCCCTAAACCCCTGCATACTCTTTATCTTTATTTTGAGATAAAGAATATGATAATGTTCCCTGTTCACATCTATGGAGGGTTCTGTGCCTGATTGTAACAATAATTTCAATATTATTTGAAAATAATAGATATGCATGAATAATTATATGTTTATTACAGAAATCATTTTAATTTAGAAATGGAACCAATAGGAAACTACCAGATAATTCCATAGTATTAATGTAATATTATTAAGCAAACTGTCAAAAGACAAGTGGTAAAGATGATGGATATTAGTGGTTATGGGATAAAATTTAAATAACAGTATTAAATTTCTATCTCTGGACTTTCATAACATAAATTAACATTGAGTAAGCCTATAAATAGATTTTGGTGATCTTCATCAAGCTAATTAGAAACTTCCCCACAATTTAGACCTCTGGACAGGATTTTGAAATTTAACAATAAGACGAAAAATGTAAAGTCCGTTGCCAATCATTCCTGTATCCTAGAAAAATTGTTCTTTCTATGATAAATCTTGAAGGCAAATGGGATTCCCCATATACAATACTCCATCCACTTCAGGTCCCCCAGCTTCCTTTGCTATTTCCATGCTATCTTTAGGCTTAAAATATTTTTTGTCCTGACCCAGTCCTGATAAGCCTGTGAGGCTAAGATCTGTCTTCGTAAATTCACAAACTGTTACCTGGCATTTTGTTTTATCCTTGAAGACTTAACCTGTAATTGGGAAAATATCCTCTGTTTCAAATTGCACAAGATATTCAAAATTTTTTACTTGTACCTTGTTTTGGAGCCTGTGGAGCAGTATAAAACTAACAGTTTCTAGTATCACAACATAACTCTCACCTACCCATCCATCTAGCTGTCTATTCATCCATCCATTCTCCATCCATCTATCCATTATTTTAACAATATTTATTGACCATGTACTGTGTGTTAGGTAGTGTTCCTGTCATAAGGACTACATCATTGCACAGAACAGTAAAAGTTCTTGGTCTCACATTCAGTAGGAATGAAGGATAGCAAATAAACCAGGTGTGATATGTAGTTATGTGAATCTTGGTACCATGAATAGGGAAGCTTGGGTGTGCCTGACTATTTTGTCGAGGGTAATTTGTCAGAGTCTCTATGCCAAAGTCACATTGGAGCAGATTAACAGAAAGAAGTGCAGGAGTGAGCATCTGCAGTGGCATGAGGCATCATTTAATGATGCAGTGGCATCATTAAAATAATGGTTAAATTGATATTCATTACTTGTAATTGACTGCTTTTTAAGCTCAACTGAATGGACTTTTAATATACTTCCTTCCTACATTGCAAATTAATGTGAGATTATATTTCTTAAAGAAAAGATATAATATCCATTTCCCTAAATTTGGATCCATAAAAGCTAAGAAAGACAGAGAGATTGAAAGGGACAAAGATTACCTTCCCTCTGCTACCATTCTTAATATTGTATTATTTAAGCCCTTATTGAAACAAAGTGCATATAAGACTAACTTTTATAATTTCATTGATAGAATTTAAGATCAATCCCAAGACATTTTTTTACCTCTATGCAGTAAAATTCTCCAATCACTTCACTTTTAGTTCAAAATAAATTCATTATAATGATTAAAACAGGTACCTATGTATAATGATGAATTATATGATTAATTTTGTTAGGCTATGATACTCATACTTGCTCAAACACCCATCTAGATGCTTCTGTGAAGTTATTTTTAAAATAAGATTAACATTTAAATCTGTAGACTTTGCATAAAGCAAGCTACCTTCAAGTATGTGGGTGGGCCTTATTCAATCAGTCAAAGTCTTGAATACAAATATGGCAGTTCTCTGAGGAAGAGAAACTGCAACTCTTCCTGGAGTCTCCAGCCTACTGTCTTAGCTTACATAGGATTTTTCAGCTCCACAATTACATGAGACAATTTTCTAACATTCTTTCTTTATCTTAATAGGTAGGTAGGTAGGTAGGTAGGTAGACAGATAAACATGAGAAGAGGGATAGATAGATATATGTACACATATATACACATACACACATGCAGATCATATGCTCTGTTTCTCTGAAGAAATCTGGTATACAATGAGCAAACTCTGAATTCCATTTCAAGTGAAATTTGTATAGTCTTTCTGCTCTTGCCTGCTCCATTATGGATGCCAGAAGTGGGTGTAATTGGCTTTCTCTCTAATTTTCCCCACTACTATATTTATTTTCCTAACAAGTTCTCCAATTTGCTAAACCTGATTGATGGTGCTTTCACTGCTGGAGCAGTGACCTGGTCAGGTCCTAGTCCACTAATACCGTCAGGACCTATCACTGACAGAAGGTAATCAGACTACTGCTTGCAGAAAGCTTGGTGAGACTTTGGACGTTGTCCTCCACTAGGGATCCCTCACCTGTACTTTTTTTTTTACCTGATGGCTGCTTAAAATTCCTCCTCTAATTCTCTGATACCCCTCCTCGAGAGAGTTAATTGAGAAAGATTTAAAAATAGCTGCCCTCCACATCCTCCTCTTTGAATCCTGAGAAACAGCTCTAAGCATCCTTGTCCCAACAAACTCTAGAAGCTGTCATCAGAAACATATCTTTTATGAAACCTCATAAAGTCCTCATGACCCTTCCTGGTGCAGTAAGAAGAATCCAGCAGACAAATATCAAACTGTTTTGTCTTTTCATAGAACCCTTTTGACTAGACTTGATGTGAGACTAAATATAATTCCCTTCTTTTTTCCATTGTGAGAGAAGAGCCTATATCACAGAGTTTTGATATTTCCCAAAGAAATTCTAACATACAGCATTTATTAATATTTTAATTTAGATAATTTTAGATCTGCAACTGAATGAGCTACTGTAAGCTAAAATATGCATTTCTCTTTTTGAAGGTTAAAATATAATTTTGCCCTTCTGAGAAGATTCATAATTTTTAAAGGATTTTGTAAGAGTGTGTTTTTGGTGCCAACATTCCCTTCAACATCCTTATTTCTGTGTTGAGATGTTGATGGAAACAATTCTAGGTTGGAAAAAATTTTTCTAATATATATATTGTTAACATGATCATATTTTTAAAGATGCAGTTAGTTTCTCCCACAGTCTGTTTTGATGAGAATGTAGCCAGATGTCTTAAATTCTAAATTTCCCCAGGAGATAAATGGTTTGTTAAGAAGTAGAAGGGGGCCAAGAAATAAAAAATATATATTAGTATAACTGTACAAGCTTATATTAAAACAAATACCATATCATCTCATCTTTAACAGGAACCTAAACAACAAAACAAACAAGCAAGCAAAATATAACCAAAGACACTGAAATAGAGAACAGGCTGACAGGGACCAGAGGAGAGAAGGGAGGGAATTTCAGGGGGAAAAGGGGAAGGATTTACAGGAACTAGTATAAAGGACACATGGACAACAACTAAGGGGGGTGGAAATGGGAGGGAGGTGGGGAGCACTGGGGGGGTAGGCTTGGATGGGAGTAAAAAGACAGAAACTGTACTTGAACAATAATTAATTAAAAAACATATATAACATTGATGTATTGATTTATTTTGCTTAAGTTTAAAGCAAAGCATATTTTGTTGTTTATGCTATCATTGTTACCCTTAAAATATAAACTGGTAGTCTATTTCAATTTTTTGAAGTAACTATCCATTTCTCCATCCTGTTTTTTTTTCATTCAGGTTGCTGTGAAGATCCTTTTCTTATCTTTGGTTCTGAAGTTCCACTAAAATATACCTGGATGTAGATTTATTATTTTTTTATCACTCTTGGGCATCACTGGGTTAACAGACTATGAGATTTGGTGTCATTCAGAACAGAAATAAATAAAATAGACAATGAAAAGTTGAACAAAACTAAAAAAAAGTTTTTTTAAAGATAAAGAAAAATGACAAGTCTTTAGCTAGGCTAAGGAAAAAAGAGAATTCTCAAATAAGAAATGAAATTTGAGACATTACAACTGATACAGAAATTCAAATGATCACAAGAGACTACTATGGATAATTATACAACAACAAAATGCATGACCTAGAAAATTTGGATAAATTCATAGACACATACAACCCACCAAGACTGAATGACAAAGAAATATAAAATTTCAATATAAAGCAGTACTTAAAAATCTCCCAACAAAAGTTTAGGACCAGATGGATTCACTGGTGAATTCTACCAAACTTTTCAAAATGAATTAAGCCTAATGCTTGTAAAACTCTTCCAAAAATTAAATAGAAAAAAAAAATGGTTTCAAACTCATTTTACAAGGCCAGCATTACCTTGATATCAAAGGCCACATAAGGATACTCTAAGAAAAGGAAATTATAAGACAATATTCTTGATGAATATAGACACAAAAATCTTCAGGTTGGCCCAAGATTCTAGAGCCTTCTGCTTTTTCAAATCTCCACCTTTGTTCTCTATGGACTCACAGAAGATTAGCAGTAGTGAAAGTCAGGATTTAGAACGCAGTCTAGCTTCTCTTAAGGAGAAACAGGAAGCTGGATGTTTTTACCTACTAGTTCTGTGCTAAACTTGGGATAATAGCCACTAGGAGAGCTTATGTGTCTGTATAAAACTTCTGTATTCTTCATGCCCATTAGACTAAAATTACAGAGCTCTATTAGCTCCCAGAGCTGGGGGATTTGGTAGCCTGTCCCATGCGTGGCAGCCTTATAAGTTGGGGCTCTGTCTGTGTGAGCATGATACCAAACAAAAATAGGGGGGTTGGCAGCCCACCATCACAAAAGGCAAACTCTAGAGGCAGAGCCTGGTGAGAAAGAAAAGACTTTTATTCGGATTCTGAAAAATCTGGGAAAATGGCAGCCTCCCTGTCTGAAAGCTCATCTCCTCAGCAAAACTCAGACAAAACCATCCTGTCCTGAGCAAGACCAAAACAAAAGGCAGTGCCCAGAGGCCCTACTCCATTTAAAATACTCTCCTTAGGAGTTTGAGATTACTACTAAATGGTCATCCAGGTAGATCAGCTTGTTCGCAGCTGCTTTCTGGCTGCAGGCTTCTCCTGGAAGCTGAGTGTGGTGCTGACACTGCCATTAGCCACGCAACTTCCTGAGTGCGGAAGCCTGGCCCATGGAGAGAACCAGCCAGTGCACTGTCTGAGTGCAGGTCCTGAGCAGCAAGAAATGAGCAAAAGAGAGTTTCTTTGTACCTGGGTTTATATTAATTTCAGGTCTAGGAAAGGAACTGGTGCTTTCTCAGAATTACCAATTAACTCCTTAAACTGTTGGGCTTTTTGGGTGGGTCCGCCTCCCAACCAATCCCTTTTTTCCCCTGGCTAGACTGATAGACTTTTTTTTGTCCAGTATCTCCCCGTGCCACCATTTTAACTTCTATTGCACATGGGCCTGCCTTTCTCTAGTCCGGCCCCCAATTTGGTACTCAAGGGAGTAGGAAGGCTTTTCCGCTTTATCTAATTGTCTTGCTAGCCTTGCACTATCTAGTATAACAACTATTGCCCTCATGGCCAATTGGGGAGACTCCTCTGGCGCTTGTCAACTTCTCGCCTCCCATGCCCTAGTCCCCATAGAAAGCAAGTTGCCCACACTCAGCACCTACTAGCAGAAAGCAATCAAACCAAAAGCCTGTGTAAAAGGATTTGCTTGCACGAACTGTCAGGCAGCACCAAGGGTGGCTTCAGCAGGAGGGATGGGGCATCTGCAACCAATGAGCAGAACCTTTATAATGGGGCATAGCAGCTGTGATGCATGTGCTCAGTTACAGGCAACTGGAAGTTAAAAGCAATGTCCTCACCATGACCCCAGGTGGTTCCCGACCTCCCAGGGCATCCCTCCTATTCCCTGGCCTCACCTGCCAGGTCGGACAGGCTATCAGTGTTAAACATGCTCTTACCAGGGAGCAGCTAAAGACTGTTTTATTACTGGAGAGACCTTAGAGGAGAAGGCAAGGAGATTGTCCACAGCCCTTTTAGGTTTCCAAGTCAGCTCCCAGATGCAGGCTGATTAGAAGTCCCTCCACCCTCCATTCTCCCCCTACTTAGCTGTCTTCTGCTTTCCATCTGTGAGTCTGTCCCCATTTTCCTTATTGGTTCAGATTGTTCATTAGATTCCTTATGTGAGTAAAATCATATGGTATTTGTTTTTCTATGGCTAATTTCAATTAACATAATATTCTCTAGATCCATCCATACTGTCTAAAGGTAATTTTTTCTTTTTTATGGCATAGTTGTATTCCATTATGTAACTGTCCCACAGTTTTTTTATCCACTCATCTACTGATGGACACTTGGGCTGCTTCTATAATCTTGGCAACTATAAATAATGCTGCAATGAACACAGTGGTGTTTATATTCTTTTGAATTAGTGTTTGGGGTTTCTGTGGATGTATTCCCAGAAGTGGGATTGCCGGACCCAAAGGCGGATCCATTTTTAATTTTTGAGGTATCTCCATAGTACTTTCCACCATGGCTGCACCAACCTGCATTGCAACCTATATCAGAAGGGTTTCTCTTTATTCACATCCTGGCCAGCACTTGTTGTTTGTTGATTTATTGATGATAGCCATTCTGACAGGTGTGAGGTGATACCTCATTGTAGTTTTAACCTTCATTTCTCTAGATTATCTTTTTTAATACAGACACTGATCACTGTAGATGCTGTGTTAAAAAACACACCATAGGTGAGCCAATGTTGATGTAGGAAGGCAAGTTTGAAAGAGCAATTACCAGTGAGAATGGTGCTTTGAAGGTAGCTGTGGAGATGGTGAGAAGATTGTGTTCTGGATTTCTCATAAATCAGATCTGAGCTGTGGGAGAAAGAGAGATGGTAAGAATGATACCAAGTTTGGAGTCCTGGACAATTGGGGTAATAAAATTGCATGATGTGTATCTATCTGTATAAATACCTGAACATACATATCCCTATATTCTATGTTTTAAATATATATTTAATATTGCCATGGCTGGTGAGGCTCAGTGGATCAAGTGCTGGCCTGCAAACCAGCAGGTCACTAGTTTGATTCCCTGTCAGGGCACATGTCTGGGTTATACGCCACGTCTCCCCTTGAGGGCACTTGAAAGGCAGCCACACACTGATGTTTCCCTCCCTCCCTCTCTCCCTGCCCCTCTCTCTAAAAATAAATAAATAAAGTCTTAAAATATATATATATATATATATAATATTGAGTGTAGTCCTGAATAGCGTGGCTCAGAGGATTGGGCATCACCCTGCAAAGCGAAGGGTCACCAGTTCGGTCCCAGTGAGGGCAGGTGCCTGGTTTGTGGGCCAGGTCTCTGGCTGGGGACATAAGAGAGGCAGCCGATCAATGTTTCTTCTGCATATTAATGTTTCTCTCCCCCTCTCCCTCTCTAAAAATAAATATATAATATCTTTTAAAAAATTGAGTATAATGTTCAGCTAGAGCATAAAAAAGACAACTAAACAATGTGCAAGTGAATTTTCAGCACATAATGTGTAGTAAGATCTAAAAATAAATACTACGTATTTTATTTACTTATAAAAGTAAAGATTAGCCTCATCTGGGTATACAGGTTTCGCCATCTATAATTTTATTCACTTGTCTTTTGAGGTTTTTTATTGAAAATAACATCTAGAATATTTTCTATAATATCCCTGGAATAAGTGACAATACATTTTGGATTTTTTCAGTTGTCTGTTCGCCAGATTTTCAGGTCTCAGAGTACTCGAGTCCCTTTCACAATACCGTTGTACTGGGTATTGTTTATTATTTTTCACTGTTTATTCTGAGACAATTTAAATTTTTCATAACTTAGTATTGTGGTACATATGACATTTAGTACTGACTTTACATCCAAGTTTAATGATTTTTCCAGTAACACAATATGTGTACCAATATTAAAGTAAGGCTTTCTTCCTTTTCCTTAAGTTATAAAATTACTCTGTACATATTCCAATCTTAGAGACAACTTGTCATCTTTCTCATCCCTGCATGGAGTGAAGAATTTATGCATTTTGTATCAAATAGATATTAAAACCTTGCCAAAGTCTTTCTTAGACAACATCTATAAAAAATGTGTTACATAATAATGCACTATGTGTTTGTAAATTTAACTACAAGATAACATGAAGGTAATTTAAATAATTTTAAATAATAATGAGCGCATGATAATTGAACATTAGTGCATTCAGAAACCAAAGATGAGAGAAAAATCTATTCCTTTCTTGCTTTGGAATTTGAGATATCAGTTGTTCATATTAAGAAGCAGAGATGAAAAGAGAAAGAAAGAAATAATTTGAATGCTGGTAAAGTGATCCTCTGCATTGCAGCAATTCACAATGGGGTGTTATATATAGCAATAAAATCAGTCATTGTTTTCAGTCTTGCTAAATAAAACTGAACTATTGGAATGGCATGCCACTTGACCTTCTGTGTTCCACAGCAGTATTTAACTGGTGCGAAGGAAACACACTTGCCAAGTGTCTTCTGTCGACATGACAGATTCTCCTGGTTGTTCATACAATGTTGAAAAAGCAAAAGTCTCTTGCTTCAGAACGCAAAAGAGAAGTTTTTTCTCAAGGAGGTACACGGTCTATACAGAAGAATGATATGAGAAATTTTCAGTCTTTTTCACAAATGGTACTTTCAGGAGGTCCTCTAAAATCAACTCCAGCAGTTAAACAGTCAAAAACTACTCACTTTGAGATCGAGATACTTGACGCTCAAACAAGAAGGCAGATATGTATTGTGGATAAGGTGAGTTTATTTATTTATTTAAATTTCTTTTATCTGCCCCCTTGATTTTGAATCTCTTGATTAAATGCTGACTTTTCGGTGTTACTTTTCTGATAAGCAGGATAGATACTTCATAAATTGTTTCAGTAGGTGATACTAACTGCAGCTTTCACAATCAATTCAATGGTAACAAATAATTATTAGGTTCTGGTTTTCCTGCTAACATTAATTATTATTGGCAGGTAAAATTTCCAGTGCATACCTTCTCATGTACGTGAAAAAAATGCTGCTAGGTTGTTGTTTTCATGCACTTAATATTCATTAAGGATTTCCCCAGGATTACAATAGGATTTGTAGTAAATAACAAGCAAAAACCACTGAAGTTACTAAAATTATATTTAACATATATGATGCAATCTCATCATTAAAAATTATTCAAAATTGAGTTATACCTTGAAAAATGAAAAGCTCACTTTTTCTGAAAGGTTTACTTATTTTAAAACCACAGAGTTCAAGAGGCTGAAGAGAATGTATTCTTAATATTACCCACATATGCTCATATCACAGATGTTTCATGAAGATAAAAATACGTAATTTCAAGCTCACATAATCAGTGTAAATTGTAGATATACATCGTATGATATTTCAAAATGCTTTTAGTCTTTCAAAACTGAAAAGATGCTAGTAGTTTAATTTATTATGAGAAAGACATATTTTAAATAAAATATATCTTTATTTATTTTTCTTTATTGTCATGTTAAGATTTTTGCTATTGTTCTAAAAATAGCATTGAATCCCTGATTCAGTTTAACTATTTTAGTCCTGTTTCTAGATAAGAAGGAAAGAGAAGGACTTGTTTTCTATTGTAATTGTCAAGAAGAAGATGTTATATACTTTCTTATTTAGTAATTATAACATCACTACCGGTCTATTAGTTGGGTAATATTAACTTTTGTTTACAGATGGAAATGAAAAATAAAGCACTTTTACAAGTTCCTACAAGATATAAGTAGAAAACAGATGAAATAATTTCTGTGAAACTCTAAATCATATTTTTATAATACCACTGGGGTTACATTTAAATAATAAATGTGTATGTATTTTGTATAAATAATTTTAACTTATGAATTTCATACACAGTATAATGTATTTTAACATTTCAGTAAAGTTTTTATATTTTGGTATCATACATAAATAAGACAAATAAAATCATTCAGAAGATGGTGATGTTTGTAATATCTCACCATTGAAAATTCAAAAAAATTTAAGCAATACATTTAAATTAAAGGAAACCAGGCAATCAATGGAATGGATATTCAATTGGTCAAGCATATATATAGGTCAGGGAGACTGGTCATTTTGTCCTTTCTGATATGTAGCTAATCATTGACAATAATTCACCTTAAAATAAGGAGAAATGGATGAGCTAGCTTCTAATTATTTTCCTCATTTATATTTTGTGTTATTGATATTTTATTTGAAGCTCTGACATGGCAGTTTACATTCTAGTAATAATTAAATTGCATGAAAGTTAGTAATTATGCAGAAATCTTAGAAATAAGGATTTTTCTTAAAAATCTCATATTTGAATAGTTAGAGTGCTGGTATTTGCATTTCTAGTAGCAAACCTTTAGGGACACTATATAGACTAGATAGAGGATTAATTTTGGACTCCTCAACAGCTTTTATGGGACAATCAACACCATATGATCTGCTAGCTTCTACATCCAAATCTTTGACTTGTCAGTAGAACTGGATTTTGTTGCATCTTGTTTTACTTTTGTGATTTAGTAAGTTGTCTCATGATGATGGCAAGACATTTAAAAGAAAAAGAAAGAATTTACTCTTTTCTTGTTTCATGATTTCTAACAGTTTAACTTTATAAACATAAGAAAGATTGATTTTGTTTGTCATTCACGATTATATTTCTGTTAGACACATTGATGACTGTATTAACAGTAAGGCAGGTTAAGTGGCTTTCATTGCATTTAGCTCTACCCAGTATACAAAAGAAGTGCTACTTATGACTTACTCCTGATCTTTCAGTAGGTACTGCCCAATAAAGTCGAAAAAGTTAAAGGTCGTGTACTTTGGAATTAATCATATCTGAACAGAATCTCTTTTACCAATCATATTAATGAGGCTCAGGAAATTTGCTGAATTTCTGATCCCAAGAACACTTATTTAGAATGTAGGTTAATATAATCTACTTTGTAAGCATACAGTGAAGAGCAGGGGAAATATGTAACAGACTTAGCATAGTGCCTGGAACAGAATAAGAAATAAATATTTTTTGTAGTTTTAAAGATCATTTAAAGAGTTAAATTTAATGTGTATAAGAATCTAAGAAAAAACAAGTAATGAAACTTGTGATACTGACAGAATTTCAATTGACTTCTTAATAATTATCCATTGCCATGATTTGTTATAAACGCTTGGGTTAGATATAAATATTTAGATATGTTTAATGGTAAAATTCATATGTATGAATCTTAGTAATATATGTTGAGTTCTAGTAGAAATTGTGTTTCCATCTAGGTATTATATTAACTTCCATTTATCCATTAACTTCAGCATACATGAAGTAAGTACTCAGGATATTCATGAGATAAAACCATTGAGATAATTCCTGAGATTGAAGAAAATATATTAAAGCCTGCTTTTTTTTACACACACATACATCAAACAAACAAAAGAGTTTCTATTGCCTTAAATATCTTCTCCAGCATCTGTCCCGCTGTTCTCATTACTTCTATCATACTCATTTCATCTGCCCATATTTTCTTCTCATTTCATCCTAAACACACTCCATTCAGACATTTGCTTCCATTACTTTCCAGAAGATGAACATACTGAGGTCATCAGAAATGGTGGTAAATACCTTGCTGAATCTGAAGATCAGTTCTCATACTTTATCTTACTCAGTATGTTAAAACATTTGCCACTGTTAAGTACATTCTTCTGAAAACACTTTTGCTTTCTAAGTTCCAGGATAGTACTACACACATTTTTCTTTAAACCTACCTTATTGGTTTCTCTCTTTTCTCTTGCTGTTGCTTCATTATCTAACTGACTAGGTGTAGAATGTCACCAACTCAGTCATTAGAACTTCTCTCCATATTAGGTCATTTACCTTATTGAGTGTCAAAGTTTTAAATATCATCTGCCTATTCATGACTCATAAATAAATATATAACTTCAACTTGTACTCCTTCCAAATTGTAAATCCATTTATCTATGAATCTATGCATGCATCTATTATCTATCTATTATCTATTTATCATTTATATATCTATCATCATCTGTTGATCATCTTATCTATTTAATTGTTCACTAAGCATATCGAGTTTAGTATATCTAACACTGAACACTTGGTCTTCCACAAAAAAAGAAACATGACTTTCTACAAGATGTTTGAGGACAATCAGTAGAATCGCATTCCTGAAGTAGCTTGAACAAAACACTTAGAGGCATCACAACCCTAGGTCTAATCTCACAACACAATGATGCCTTCACATATATTTAAAGAATGAAAAATTTTATCCACCTCTCCTGCCAGAGCCCTAAGATTTTTCTCTGTTCCTGTGCTTAATACCTTTGATTTATTCCTTATATAGCAACAGAACTAGCCTGTTGTTAAGATAATATTATTCACTACTCAAAACTAGATCCTCTTTTTGATCTTGACTTAATTCTCATTTTTTTCAAGGACTTTATTTACTGCTTTTGAAAACTGCAAAATCTGGCAATATTTTCTATTACCCCTCTGTGTTCTATTTCTTTACTAGCATTTATTTCCTTTTCCACTCTATGTATCGTTTTTCCTATTCTTTACATGCCTTCTTTACAAAACCAGGAATTTGGTTTTTATTATTCATGTATCTCCAACATTTAGAACAAATGCTTAGCACAAAGAAACCATGTACACTAAATATGTACTAAATTTAATCAATGCCTGTTCAAGAGATATGTGGATTTCACAATGAACTCATGTCTAGCACTAATAGTTTTAAAATAGAGGAGTATGATATTAGAAAATACTTTATACTATTTTCTAAATTAAATTATCATTGGAATAAATGTAAATACATTCATAGAAAAAGACATTTAAATATTCCATTCTAGCCCTGGCTGGTGTGGCTCAGTGGACTGAGTGCCAGCCCTTGAACCTAAGGGTCAACAGTTTAATTCCCAATCAGGGCACATGCCTGGGTTATGGGCCAGGTCCCCAGTTGAGGGAACATGAGAGATAACGACACATTGATATTTCTCTTCCTCTCTTTCTGTTTTTCCTCCTCTCTCTCTAAAAATAAACAAATAAAAATTAACATAAACAAACAAATAAATAAATTTTTCATTCTACTGAATGCCCAAATTGCTCCTGGCTTGCACTCAACAATAATATATAACATTAAACTTTGTATTTGTGCATAGTTTACTAATAGTCATATTATGATTATAAAATCTAAGAAGCTACTTTCTTCTTTCATAAAATATTTTAGATTATAAAATCTAAAATCTACTCTCTCTTTCATAAAAAGAGAGTTGAGATGAGGATATATATATATAAATATTTTAGTTATTTCCCGTGAATGATTAAAAGCATATGATTAACCAGGGATGATAAGATGAAGAATTTAAATTATACTATTAAATACCATTCTTTCTTTATACCATTCAATTCTTAAGTGTTAACACTTAAAAATGGTATAACATCATATACCATATGGGAAAGGTATAACATCATGTACCATATAAGAATGGTATAACATCATATACCATTATGTTATAAAATCAATAGTATATCAGAAATGTAAACTTTAAAAAATTAATAATAGCCCTTGCTGAAGTGGCTCAGTGGATTGAGTGCCAGACTGCGAATCAAAGGGTCACTGGATCAATCTCCAGTCTAGGACACATGCCTGGGATGCAAGCCAGGTCCCCAGTAGGGGGTGAGCAAGAGGCAACCACACATTGATGTTTTTCTCTCTCTCTTTTTCTCTCCCTTCCCCTCTCTCTAAAGCTAAGTAAAAAATAACCTTTTAAAATTTTAAAAAGAAATTAACCACAAATTATTCTACTGGTTAACTTTCCTTATCTCACTTCTGTCTTATAAAATGTTAGAAGCTTATCTTGTGATAAGCTGATGATTCAAGAGCTTGGCAAAACTCTAAAACTAATGGTGATAAACATTTCAATATCATCCCATTCTTTTTTTCTTTAATCTTTTTTCTGAGGATCTTGACCACAAGAGCCCTCTTTCTTCTATTGTTTAAATGTATCTGTCAAATATCTCAAAAGCTTTTAAAAGACTTCTTACAAATAAAGTAAAGCACTCAACAATTATCCAATTCTCCTAATGGCAAAAATTGTATTTTTTAGAAAATAGTAGAGAAATTGTAGTATAGTAAGGCTGCATAAACTTTTGAGAATTTGTAATTTCTGACATTGTCACTTTTAATGGGCAGGCTACTTAGTATAATAGTGGCTCCATTTGTTCTTCTGCAAAGTGAGAATGGCATCTGTTTTAAAATGGCCTCAAGGCAGGACCTGGGGCATTTGCCTTCATTACAGTCCACGATGGAATGCTTTTGAGTTCCTGGGCTAAGGCTGAACTGAACAATTCAAATCAAAAGTGACGGACTTTAGTAAATCTCGATGGGTCTTATCTAAGGTGCACACAAGGAAAAAGCTATGGGGAGGGGGGGTGAGCTGTTGATCCTCAAGGCTACTGGGAAAATCATATCTGGAATGTACATTTACTTGTGACTCTGAGGACCGCTATCTAAGGTGTGTGATTGCATGAGGGGCTGATGGCAGTTTAAGGTCATTGCATGCCACGAGTCAAACAAAACAAGATGCCAAGGCAGTGACACCATGGAGGAGTTTCACTCAAGTCTTGAAAAAACATGAGGCTGTGAATGCTGTACTCATTATCAAAAATTTCACAATGAAGGAGTTTGTAGCTCCTTTGTGATCTAATAGTTCAAACATAAAAGATAAAGACTATGCTTACATAATATATTTCTGGGAATTAAAGTCTAATTATATATTAGGCATGCACCTTGTCCAGATCAACATTTTACTGATATTTTTGTTGTAGCCGAATAAATAACTATCAAAATACTCTCTTAACTTGTTGCTGGGATTTTAGCATGTCCTTAACACACAATTTTTTTCATCCCTGTCATGTGTGTACCTTTGTGCTCAGAGGTATTATGGACAACTTCCCTACAACTATTACTCACACAATTAGGATTTATCAAATGAGCAATAACTTAAAATAACATTAAGAAATAAAAATTTTGTTACTCTATATTTTAAATTATATAGTCTCCAGGGCAAAATGTCTGAAGGGGAAATACTGCAGCAAGTAGCTGCCGATATTTATATCCCATTAAGACTTTGAATACCCTCATACTAGGTGTTTCTGGACACAAATGTATGCTCCCTGAGGCCTTAAGTCTAGATTACTAAAAGCACAGGCACAATCAAATTTATATTTTTGCTAGAGTTTGTATAATGACAGCATCTAAGTTCAAAATAGTTTTAAATTATACATATATGTGAGTGATCTTAGATTAATATATATGTACATGACACTTCACTGTCTCCTATGAAAATTATGGTGTTTGCATGACTACATTACAGGAGCTCAAAGGTGTAGAGAGCAATCATTGTTTAAAGTTTTTACCCTTATAACACTTTCAATTGATTATGATTAAGTACTACCTACAAAAATATATTCAGGGACATAATCTTAGAACACTGCCTAATCCTTCCCCCTTCCCTCACTCTTTCCTTTTCTTCTACCCTGTTGTTTTTTCTTCATGTATGACTACATTGAAGAATACTACTCTTCCAGTCCATAGGCACTCTAATAGACCCTGGGAACATGAGGATGAAAACCAAATGAAAACAAACCAAATACAGGGCAGGCAAAAGTGGGGTTACACTTGTGAATACACAAAACACAGAGTTTATTATTTTATTATTCTTTATTAATTATTGTATAAGTTTATAAAGGCTTTTACTGCAACCTGTATATTTGTTTCTCTTCAGATATTCACAATATTGTGATTCATAATGACATGTAAATAGTCCCATCATAAAAGACAAAACAGGTATGAAAAAAGTGGTGCTGAGCCCAGATGAATATTTTTGTTCTACTGAAGAAATTCAGAATAGCTGCAGATATCTCTTCTAGTTATAAATAGCCCCAGCACACTGAAGGACCATCACGAGGATATTTCTTTTATTTCCTTTGGATATTTCTAAGATTTAAGAGTAATCTCCTAAAGTAGAAATTATCTCCTCTAACTGCCTTACATGCTCAGCCTTCTTTCAGGCTTTGACTGAAGGCACATTGCTAGAGAGACACCTCTGGAGAATTTACGGAAGAAGGTGAGGATGAATTCCCTTCCCATTTAAGACTTTCTAAGATACAAACTTGTCAAGCTCAATACCAAGAATATACTATATTTTATTAGTGGATTTTCAAACTGGCAGTCATCAAATAATTTTCAATCCCTGTTGATCTATGGGGATTCAGCTGAGCAATCTGAGCTCAGAAGTCTGTAGCTACATAAAACCCTTGAATATTATACTTGTTTATTCTCCTATGAGAAGTTAATTCTCTTCTAGGCAGATTTTGAACTGTCTACTACATCTAGATACCAGATATTTTATTTGATAATTGATCTTACTCTTAAACAATGCTGTGTCTCTGCTTTCTCATAAACTCATGATTCTAACATCATTTTATGAAAAGAGGGAATCAATTGTTACCTGTCCTTGTTCTTATTGCAGTGTGTGTTATCATTCCACACTTTTACTGCCTCCAAAATAAACATTTAAGATTCGTTTGTGTTTGGGTGTTTCTAACTTTTCAATTATTGGTTATTTGATTTTTTTAAAACCAAAGTGAATTGTAGTAAGTAATTGATTTTAGCAAAACATTTGATGAGTTACTGACAGTCTAATGGTGTCTTTTATTTGTCAGCACTGGTCTCCATGCCACTAAATACAGACATGTCATCTGCTTCTCCTAAACTTCATTTAA